TATACGAACAATTTCAAACAGGAAGCCACCACACCCCAGCTTAATTAACCTAACCTAACCTAACCTGACATTAGTAACATAACCTAACCTGACTTAAACTTGTTAATACAGTGAAACCTCCATATAACGAACTTCTCTTTCCATATAATCCGTTAAATAGGGGGGTTTCACATCTAACAGACCTTCGATATAACGGACTTTCATCAATACTCATCCGTTAAATAGAGGTTTTACTGTACGTATCCCACGTGTCCCGTGTTCTCTGTAGTTATAGCTAATACTTCGTCTCTATCATGTTCAAAGTGTTGTACTGTAGAGCCCTCGTGTCTCAGAAAGTATATAGGTGTGTGTGAGGCGATGATGAAGCCATGGTTAGGTTAGGTTTAGGTTAGGTTAGGATTAGGTTAGGTTAGGATTAAGTTTGGTTTGGTTTGGTTTGGTTAGGATTAGGTTAGGTTAGGATTAGGTTAGGTTAGGATTAAGTTTGGTTTAGGTTAGGTTAGGTTAGGATTAGGTTAGGTTAGGTTAGAATTAAGTTTGGTTTGGTTTATACTTAATCGGTGATGAATTTTTTTATTACCCTTATGAGGCGAGCGGTAAATTACGAACCATAATATATGGTGCGTCACAATGGTTAATTTGACGTAGTGTCCCCTTAACAGTTTCCTTTAGAGAAAACAGCAAACTCAGAGAAAATGGTGCATGTGGGCAACTAAAGTAAATTTATCCGTTTCAATCTTATTTTTCCTCCTTTCTATTTCGTAATGTGCATCTCTTTCTACACACACACACACATACACACACACACACACACACACAAAATAACATCAGAACCGTAAATTAGTTTTCAGTTTAGCTTTGGTTTATGTTAAGGCAGTGTACTATGAAGAACAAGAATAATGAAACTTGGTATTGTGTAAGAGTTGAAGGATAATACCCTTGGGTCTCCACTGACAGCCATAAAGACTTTCTATTAAGAAATTTTTATCTTATTGTTTTCTATATCTTAGTATATAAAATTTCTTCTCAATATAAGGTACTGTTCACTAAGGTTACTCTTGAGGTTGCTTCAGTCTCCTTAAGATACAGATAATTTGTTCTCTATCAGCTAATGTTTGCATGACTTCAGTTCAGATGACAACATGTTAACTTAGTGTAACCTTAGCATCTCTTTACCTGATCATAAGAAGCACTGTCATCTGCACACAACAAAAGTTTAAATTTAACACTGATGATCGTGTCATTTACAACATACAGTAAAGGAAAAGTTAAGGTCCTAGCATGCATCCTTATGGGACTCCACTAGTTATAGATAAGGCTGGTGAAGTGGTATTATTAACACTGACAGTTTGTTTCCTGTTAAGATAAGGGTTAAATTAGTCAAACAATTCTGCGTCATAAATTTATATTTTTCCTAGTATAGCATAATCCACTCACTGCGTCAAAGGCCTTTTGCAAACATATCTCCCATTACTCTATAATTTCCATGAGCTATTTGGGTCCTGAATTGTACACTGAGATGAATTAAACCGGCGCCAATTGAATGAGAACCATAAATCCTGATTGACAGCTGTATACAATGTAAATATCACTAATATATTTTTTCGACACGAGTATACGATAACTTTGTCTTTACTTTGACTTTATCCTTACAAAGTTCTCTCTGCCGTTTAACCTCCATATAACGGACTTCTCTCACCATATAATCCATTAGATGAGGGTTTAGCATACAACGGACCCTCGATATAAGGTACTTTCTTCTATAAATTCGTTAAATGGAGGTTTCACATATAACGAGCCATCGATATAACGGACTTTCAGCTTTATATAGTTCAATAGATAAAGGTTTCACATATAACGAGCCATCGATATAACGGTGGGGTGGGGGGGGGAGGGGTTAATATTCACATGACCCCAGGTTGCAGTTATATCCTAGTCTCTTGATATGACTATGAAAACATCCATCAGTCAGGTCAGGAAGGAAAAAGGTCCAGTGTGATCGACAAACCCAGGCAAAAGGAACTCAAGTCGACTGAAAGTTGTCTGTCTGTCTGTCTGTCTGTCTGTCTGTCTGTCTCTTTCGTTATGAGAGCCTAGATTAAAACTACTATATCACCGGAAATTTGTTGCAACCTTTATGTTATGTACCCTTTATTGATACTCTCTCTCAAGGCCACACTGGCTATACTAAACTCACGGAAACAGCAGAACAACACAGCAAGGTGCAGTTGCCTCATTATCATTATTGACACGTTACTCACCTCACCACCCTCACAAGGCCACTGCCAACACACACACACACACACACACACACACACACACACACACACACCGCCAACACACACACACACACACACACACTGCCAACACACACACACACACACACACTGCCAACACACACACACACACTGCCAACACACACACACACACACACACACCGCCAACACATACACACACACACACACACACACACACACACCACAACACACACACACACACACACACACACCACACACACACACACACACACACACCGCCAACACATACACACACACACACAACACATACACACACACACACTGCCAACACATACACACACCACAACACATACACACACACACACACCGCCAACACATACACACACACACACACCGCCAACACACACACACACACACACATACACACACACACACTGCCAACACACACACACACACACACATACACACACACACCGCCAACACACACACACATCTGCCAACACACACACCGCCAACACACACACACCTGCCACAACACACACACTCTGCCAACACACACACACCCCACACACACACACTGCCAACACACACACACCACACACACACACCAACACACACACACACACTGCCAACACACACGCACTGCCAACACACACACACACACACACACTGCCAACACACACACACACACACACACACTGCCAACACACACACGCACTGCCAACACACACACACACACACATCACACACACACACACACACACACTGCCACACACACACACACACACACACACCAACACACACACACACACACACTGCCAACACACACTAAACTGCCAACACTTCCAACACACTCCGTTTATAATACATCAAGTTAACTGTACATGTACCATATTAAAACTGTACAGGGAAACCTCTATATAACGGACTTCCTATATAATCCGTTAGGGATGGTTTCACATCAAATGGACTCTTAGATATAACGAATTTCTGTCTATATAGTTTATGGAAGGAGGTTTCACATCTAATGGACCCTCCATATAACGGACTTCTCTTCATATAATCCGTTAGATGGGGGTTTCACATCAAATGGACCCTCGATATAACGGACTTTTTCTCCTTATATAGTCCGTTAAATAGAGGTTTTTCACTGTATTAGCAACAGTGAGTAAAATGAACTTCTGCTCTTAGGAGAAATAATTTTGTGGGAATTTTATTTAGAAACTAATGTAAAAGAAGGCGAGGCAATATAAAGGCACATCACAACACTATATATCACTACACTATTACACACTTTTACCACACTCACAGTACACAGTACACTACATTATACCACACCACATCACCACACTACAGTACACTACATTATACCACACCACATCACCACACTACTGTACACTACATTATACCACACCACATCACCCAACACACCCTATCCCACCCACCCATACCCCACCCCCACCATACCCCACCCACCCATACCCCCACCCATACCCCACCCCACCCATACCCCACCCCACCCATACCCCATCCAACACACCCCACCCACACCCTACCCCACTCCACACCTCACCCCCACCCATACCCCACCCACACCCATACCGACCCACCACCCCACCCAACCATACAATATCCCACCACACCCCTCACCACCCATACCCGACCCCACCCATACCCGACCCAACCCATACCCGACCCCACCCATACCCACCCCACCCCACCCCACCCATACCCCACCACACCCACCCCAACCCCACCACACCACATACCCCACCCCACCCCACCCACCATACCCCACCCCACCATACCCCACCCCACATACCCACACCCCACCCCACCACACCCACCCATACCACCCCACCCCACCCCCACCCATACCCCCCCACCCATACCTGACCACCCATGCCCCACACCTCCCCCCACCCCACCCCACCCCACCCATACCCCACCCCATCCCTCCCACCTCTAACTTACTGCTTAATCATCAGGTTAAATAAATTGGGAGATAAATCTACATATTATCTACTATACTAGCTGTACGAGGCGCACTCCACTCACAGTACAAAAATGCAGTATCCCTCCCTCCTCCCCCACAAGACGACTAGACAAACATCTGGCAGACTAGGATTCCATATATATTTCCAGAGCCTTATAACTTTCTTGCTCAATCACTGTACAAAGATCACATGAATATACAAGCCTCATGGCCTTGTACACAATAGACATAAATAACTTAATATAGATTTATAATTATTTACAAGTGGGAAATTATCTGGATTTGTAAAGCGATAAACTGAGGATTTCCAACTTTACATTTTAGGAACGGACGCCTTGGGGAATCCCGTCAAATTCTAATGTAAGCAAGTAGTATTGATATTGAAACAGTTTATTTAGCCAGAATAATAATAATAACAATAATGACATCGGTAAGGTGTATTTTTGGGAAACAGTTCGCCTTGTGTGTCGTTGTGGTTAATTATTAGATGAAATATTTCAGAACACGATGTGACATTACTAAACAGGATGCCTAAGTTGGATGATGTACGATGACTTATATTCTCATATGGTTAGGCAATGGCTGTGTGTGTTTTCCTAGTGTGGAGGGACTCTCTCTCTCTCTCTCTCTCTCTCTCTCTCTCTCTCTTCTTTCTCTCTCTCTCCTCTCTTCACCAGTGGAAGAACAAACGTACGACACCAAAAGATAACAACATTCCCATCCCGTACGATAACTTTTCCACCACTGAATCGTCTCGTTCCATTACTGGTTGCCCAGGCTCACCAAGTCACCATCCTTGTAACGTTCCTGTGTGTGTGTGCTTAATATGGTGTGGGATGTTTATTTACGTCTGATTTTAGCGTCTGTGCTTCTCATCCGTCATGGGAGAGCTCGAAGTAAGTTATTTGCTGTGAGTTTGTGGATATGACCGTGTCTGTAGTCAGTTTTAGCGAGTTGAGTTAGAGACGGAGTGTGGTGGTGGTGTTTTCAGCTGCTGTTGAGTAAGTACGGAGTCTTAAGCCTTATGATGCCAGCACTGTTACTTCCTCTACTATACAACAATTACTACCATCCCTGCTACCACTATTATGACTCTGCACATCTATTATTCCTATACACTATTACTATTGGTAATTGTGATAGTAATTACACCTAAAAAAAAATTATGAACAATACCACATTTATTTTAACAATAATTACAATAAAAATATAAATAATAACGAATAAGAATTAAAAAAAAGAGACAATAATAATAATAATAAAGTGTATGTCAGTGATAATAAATTGAATAATAATATAACTAAAATTTATAATAATAAAAATCACATTATAACTATTTCTATTACCATTAGGCATGGTATGGCTCGGAAGATAATAATACGGTAGTTGAAATAAACAAGCAAACATTTTCATCTGCAGCCATACTGAGAGAGAGAGGGGTCTCTACTGATACCTTAGCATTTAATAGGATTTCCCAGATAGGGGCAGGGTACTGTGTGTGTGTGTGTGTGTGTGTGTGTGTGTGTGTGTGTGTGTGTGTGTGTGGCGTGCGTGTGCGTGTGTGTGTGTGCGTGTGTGTGTGTGTGTGTGTGTGTACTAAAATCTCCATCATCCCATCTTAACTAAATTTAACCAAACCAACCAAACTCTAACCTAACCTAACCTAACCCTCCCTCTAAACAGCTGACTTTGGCAATGGTTCGCCGGGCCAGGCATGCAAGATGGGCGGGGGCGTGGTGGGAACCTGCGAGGAGGTGGAGGCGTGTCTGAAGGACGGAGGCGTGGTAGAGAGAAGAGGCGTGGTTAAGCTCTGCGCCCAACAGAACTCCAAGATCTATGCGTGTTGTCGAAGGCCTCACCTCATCACCCGGGGATGTGAGTAGCTAATTATGTTTACCTTACGTGTGGCTGATTGGGGTACAGGGATAATTACAGGTAGAGGGTTAATTACAGGTACAAGGTTAATTACAGCTAGAGATTTTAATTACAAGTACTGGATTAATTACAGATAGAGATTTTAATTACAAGTACTGGATTAATTACAGGTACAAGGTTCATTACAGGTACTGGATTACTTACAGGTAAATAATAATTGCAGGTAGAGATTTAATTACAAGTACAGGGTTAATTACAGATAGAGATTTTAATTACAAGTACTGGATTAATTACAGGTACAAGGTTCATTACAGGTACTGGATTACTTACAGGTAAAGAATAATTACAGGTAGAGATTTAATTACAAGTACAGGGTTAATTACAGATAGAGATTTTAATTACAAGTACTGGATTAATTACAGGTACAAGGTTCATTACAGGTACTGGATTACTTACAGGTAAAGAATAATTACAGGTAGAGATTTAATTACAAGTACAGGGTTAATTACAGGTACAGAAATAAGATTACTAGTTACAGGTGTTGATAAGATTGGTGTATGTATCACTCTCTTGCATTCAACCTACCATTTTATCCATCCATCTATCTATCTTATTATCTATCTATCCCTTCCTTCTTCTCTACCTCCCTCCCTCTCTCTCTTCCTCCCTTCTCCCTACTACTCCTCCCTCTTATCCCCTTATCAACAGTGTGTGACGCTTGGTCTCAGTACTGGCGTGAGGCCGGCCAGTGTGTAAATGAGACTCAGCTGATCGTGGGTGGAGTCAACGCCATAATAGGAGAGTTTCCCCATATTGTGAGTGTAAACAACGTCAAGTTCCGTTTTCTTTGATATAGGATGACTGAAGGAGGCTGGTGTAGGTGTTAATGATGAGAGAGAGAGAGAGAGAGCTATTCACTGTGTATGTATGTATGAATGTAGTGTGTGTGTGTGTGTGTGTGTGTGTGTGTGTGTGTGTGTGTGTGTGTGTGTGTGTGTGTGTGTGTGTGTGAAACTAAAACTAACAATATACACTTGACTATTATCACTCCATATAATAAAAAGATAACTATTCTCTTTTCTGGCGATAAAAAAGTTATTAGTGACAAAAAAACCAACTAGAGTACATATCATTATTAACAAGGGAGGCTTGGTTTATGGATTTGGGTATGTGTATGATGACCTTCCAACGACCCTCACAACTGTGACCTTCTGACCTGACCTCTCTTGTCTTCCCACACAGGCCATCCTGGGTGCTGAGCATAGGTACAAAGGCATCGACTGGTTCTGTGGGGGTACTCTCATTTCCCCACATTACATACTGACTGCTGCCCACTGTGTTGCAAGGTAAGAGAGGTAGGGAGGATGGAGGGTGGGTTAAAGAGAAAGAGAGAGAGAGGAAGGATGGAGGGTGGGTGAAAGAGAGAGAGAGGGAAGGATGAAGGAGAGCGGATGTCAAGAGAGGCGAGGCAGTAGGGAAGGAGGTGAATGGGAGAGAGAAAGCAGGAGGGAGAGAGATGAAAGAAAAAAAGTATTTACCGAAACTGTCAACAGCCGTGATAAGTGTTGAGTTAGCAGAGAAAATTAGAGACATGATAAGGGTGAGAGAGAGAAGCTGGAGAAGGGAATGGGAAAAGGGGAAGCAGATACAGGGAAAAATGAGAGAGAGAGAGAGAGAGAGATAGAGAAATAGAAAGAGACCATTTAACCCAATTATCGATATGGTGCGCTACGCCTATGAGAGGGACAGTAGGAGAGAGAGTGAGAGTCCTAATAGGCACTAGTCCCCTAGGGCCTCTGTAGTCCCAAGGAAACCAAACTTAATGGTCTGGATAGGTTAGGATGGGATCTATCAGACAGGAGCCCGAATTGACCCTTACAGCCACACGTAACCTTGTATTACAGGACGAATAACTATTGGATAAGGCTCAGCACGACCGTAACCAAACGGCGGGAGAACAGCCCAGGGTCCGAGGGCCTGTTCCTCCATCCCTCATACACTCCTCAGAGCTAGCCAAGGACACCACGGATAAGGCCCCCACCAAGCAGAAGATCAGGTGAAGGTGATCCTCCACCCTGAGTACTCCTCTGAGCTCATCAAATACTACATATTGCTTTACTGAAGCTCAGTACCCCGGTGAGTGACCCGAGTGAAACGTACGCTCTACCTCAACCCCCAGACCTATCTTAATTATCAATCAGTAAAGTGATATTGCTTCGCTTAGACTCAGTATCAGGAACGTCTTAAGCGATCTGCTTCATTCCTGGCGTCTCATTACCGTCCTTGACATTCTAGATCGATAAGCACCTGTTTCGCCTTACTCACACACCCACACTCCTTCCTTTCTCTTTGGTAATGGTGGTGTCTCCTGCAGGCGACGCTGACGAGCCAGTGTTGCCTGCCTGTCTGCCCAGAGACCACTGACGACCTGAGCGGGAAGGAACTCATAGTGGCTGGCTGGGGTTGGACCAGTTTCGGTAATAATGCTTTGTTGACTCTTTAATAAAACATGTGTGAGAAAACTATATATTGCTTACACACACACACACACACACACACACACACACACACACACACACACACACACACACACACTATACGTATAATCCCCCCTCAAAAAAAAATTATATCTCCTCTATAGGATTCACAGAGTTGACGAGAATCCTACAGAAGGTGAACGTGCCCGTAGTGAACCACCTCAAGTGCCAGGCCAAATGGTTCAACAGCACCACACCTCCCAGAGGTATCCTGCAGGACCAGCTGTGTGCCGGCGCTAACGGACGAGACTCCTGTAGGGTAAGTCCTGCATACAGAGAGAGAACGTGTGTGTGTGTGTGTGTGGGAGAGAATGAGAGACAGTGAGATATGTGTGTGAAGGGATGTGTGAGCATAAGAGGATTAGAGAGAGAGAGAGAGAGAGATGTGTGTGACAATGAGAGAACAAGAGGATTATCAAGAGAGAGAAATAGGACCTTGTATAGAATCCATTAACAGCATCCTTCTCCCATATAGGACACATTAACAGCATCCTTCTCCCATATAGGACTCCTTAACAGCATCCTTCTCCCATAGGACACATTAACAGCATCCTCCCATATAGGACACATTAACAGCATCCTTCTCCCATATAGGACACATTAACAGAATCCTTCTCCCATATAGGACACATTAACAGCATCCTTCTCCCATATAGGACACATTAACAGCATCCACCTTCCATATAGGACACATTAACAGCATCCACCTTCCATATAGGACACATTAACAGCATCCTTCTCCCATATAGAACACATTAACAGCATCCACCTTCCATATAGGACACATTAACAGCATCCTTCTCCCATATAGGACACATTAACAGCATCCTTCTCCCATATAGAACACATTAACAGCATCCACCTTCCATATAGGACTCCTTAACAGCATCCACCTGCCATATAGGACACATTAACAACATCCACCTCCCATATAGGACACATTAACAGCATCCACCTCCCATATAGGACTCATTAACAGCATCCACCTTCCCTATAGGACATATTAACAGCATCCACCTTCCCTATAGGACACATTCTGCATCCACCTTCCCTATAGGACACATTAACGTCACCTTCCTTTGAACACATTAACAGCATCCACCTCCTATAGGACTCATTAACAGCATCCACCTTCCCTATAGGACACATTAACAGCATCCACCTTCCCTGTAGGACACATTAACAGCATCCACCTTCCCTAGGACACATTAACAGCATCCACCTCCCATTGCACATTAACAGAATCCACCTTCCTATAGGACACATTAACAGCATCCACCTTCCTTAGGACACATTAACAGTCCTTCTCCCTTATGGGACTCCTAACAGCATCCTTCTCATATAGGACACATTAACAGTATCCACTTCCCAATAGGACACATTAACATCCTTCTCCCATATAGGACACATTAACAGCATCCTTCTCCCATATAGGACACATTAACAGCATCCTTTCCATATAGGACACATGTAACAGCATCCTTCTCCCATATAGGACACATTAACAGCATCCTTCTCCCATATAGGACACATTAACATCCTTCTCCTATAGGACACATTAAGCATCCTTCTCCCATATAGGACACATTAACAGCATCCTTCTCCCATATAGGACACATTAACAGCATCCTTCTCCCATAGGACACATTAACAGCATCCTTCTCCCATATGGGACACATTAACAGCATCCTTTCCCACATAGGACACATTAACAGCATCCTTCTCCCCTCCTAGGACTCCTTAACAGTATCATTCTCCCATATAGGACACATTAACAGCATCTTCCACTATAGGATACAGCATCCACCTCCCATATAGGACACATTAACAGCATCCACCTCCCATATAGGACACAGTAACAGCATCCACCTCCATAGGACACATTAACAGCATCCACCTTCCTATAGGACACATTAACAGCATCTTCTCCCATATGGGACTCATCAACAGTATCATTCTCCCATATAGGACACATTAACAGCATCCTTCTCCATAGGACTCCTTAACAGCATCCTTCTCCATATAGGACACATTAACAGTATCCTTCTCCCATATAGGACTCCTTAACAGCATCCTTCTCCCATATAGGACACATTAACAACATCCACCTCCCATATAGGACACATTAACAGCATCATTCTCCCATATAGGACACATTAACAGCATCCTTCTCCCATATAGGACACATTAACAGCATCCACCTCCCATATAGGACACATTAACAGCATCCACCTCCCACTAGGGACACATTAACAGCATCCCTCCCATAGGACACATTAACAGCATCCACCTTCCCTATAGGACACATTAACAGCATCCACCTCCCATATGGAACACATAAACAGCATCCACCTTCCCTATAGGACACATTAACAGTATCCACCTTCCCTATAGAACACATTGACAGCATCCACCTTCCCTATAGGACACATTAACAGCATCCACCTTCCCTATAGGACACATTAACAGCATCCACCTTCCCTATAGAACACATTAACAGCATCCACCTTCCCTATAGGACACATTAACAGCATCCACCTTCCCTAGGACACATTAGCATCCACCTTCCCTACACAACAGCATCCTTCCCTATAGGACACATTAACAGCATCCACCTCCTATAGGACACATTAACAGCATCCACCTTCCCCATAGGACACATTCAGCATCCCCTTCCATAGGACTCATTAACTCCCTCCTGCAGGGTGACGGTGGACCTCTTATTCAGAAGGTGCGCAACGGGCATTTGTGAACATACCGTAGTGACGTGGTCAGTCAGTTCGACTGACAGGGCATTATAGCTCCGCATGGTTCACTCATGATCTGGAACCTTGGTCTTAATTATGGTCTTGAATCTAATGATGTATGGTGTTTCTATATAGTGGTGTACGGTGTCTATATAGTGATGTATGGTGCTTCTGTATAGTGGTGTATGGTGCCTCTATATAGTGTTGTATGGTGCCTCTCAGTTGTAGTGTATGGTGTCTTGTGGTAGTAGTGCACGTATTATTATTATTTTTATTGTGAGGTAGGGAGGGGCATGAATGACTTTAAAATTTCCTGAACTATTTCATACGCTATAAGGGGATAATGTACTCGTTTGAAAAGGAAGAACAACCGAGCCAAGCTTGTTTAATATTTGTTTTTATTTAAAGTGCAAAAGAATAGTCAATACAGTACTTAAACGCTTTCTAACTCCTATATCGAATTAGTGTTGCTAAGAAAGACTAGTTTGTTGTGTTTATATGAGGATTATCAATCTACAATAACTAACAGGATATATACTGTACATAAGGGTAATGTATTGTAAAATCTTAAAGGAGAATTATAATAGTTACACATAAATGTATTGTTTCATTTTCTATGATAAAACAAAAGAGTACGGAATGGTGAACTTAAGTATTCCTGGATATTTTGTTTATTGTTTTTTTAATATATATATCGCCTCTTTTAGAATATATATAATGTTTTCTCCTGAACACTCTACGTACTAGAAAAAAAAGAAAAATTGAAGGTAATGTTAAACGAAAGATAACACCTGGCCAGATTCACAAGAACGTGAATATCACCTTGGAATTAAAAACAGTACAATTCCAATACCCAATAGCCTCGGAATCGTTATATATTGATATAGTTACGTAGTTTTTATTATCAAGGAAACGAGCAAGATATATCAGAGTATAGGAGTCCTCAACCTGTGATACATTCCGCTTACTGGAGCGGAGATAAAGAGACCCAATGCTAACTTTTATCCTCTTCGCTACTGATCGGCTCGTAAACCGCTTGGATGATCGGTCACGTCTCTGTTACGCACTGTTGGCAAGTACTGGGTATGCACTGGCTACTGAATGTACCTGAACCTGCTCCAGTGCTGGCAGTCTGGTCTTGAAACAGCTCACACTCGGTGCCGTCACAACACTCTGGCAGATTGTTCCGTGAGTTCACAACTTACTCTGAAGTTAGCCCTCACAGTTTTCTGGACTTGTGGCTTCTTCAACCTTGAGCAGTGATTCCTTGTGGGGCGAGTGAAATCTCTATTTAATGGACTATATGGAGAGGAAAGTCCATTATAGCGAGAGTCTGTTAGATGTGGAAGCTCCATCTAATAAACTACGTATATGGAAAGGAAAGTCAGTTACATCGGGGTTCCATTAGATTTGAACCCCTCCATCTAACGGATTATATGGAGAGAGAGATGTCCGTTATATGGAGGTTTCACTGTATCTCTATTATCCTTGATTAATTTGTTCTTCAGTGTCCAGGAGTTAGAGGAAACCATAGTACCCGGAGAAGACTTGGAGGTCGCACATCCCACTCGGAGATTGAACCTGGGACCCAGTGATGAGAGGTATGCATTTATTCATTAATATGCATATATGTATAAGCCTGGAGATATGTAAACATTGCTCGGAAGGTGTCACCGCGTTGGAAATTAACTATCAACAACTTTTAATATTTTTGATGAAGTTTGTGGTGAAAATACACTGCTGCATATTGCATCTCTCTCTCTCTCTCTCTCTCTCTCTCTCTCTCTCTCTCTCTCTCTCTCTCTCTCTCTCTCTCTCTCTCTCTCTCAACACAGGCGGCGTCACTGCAAAGCACACACCGCC